TTACACAAACACTAAATATCTATAATTCTTGATACACAGACATTTATTATTTGTGTAATTGAGATAAAAATTTCACCCTTAAAGTCTACGAAATAGTATTGTACCAAAAACATTTCTGAAATTTTTTTATGTTTAAAAAAAATGAAAATTTACAATCAATACAGTTTAGTCACACAGACATTAAAACTCTTTATTTTCTTGAACACAGACATTTACTATTTGTGTAATCTGAATCAAAATAGACATTTACTCTCTGTGAAAATATATTTCACAGACAACGAATGTCTGTAGCATCATTATTTATTCTCTTCCACAACTATTCAAAATTAGCGCAACCTTGTTCAATTTTTTTATTTAATAGATCCTCAAACACTTTTAAAAAACAAAAATCTTACAAAATAGCAAATATTCAATATCTATGCAACTTCATTGTAAAAATTCTATGAGATAGTTTCTCACAGACACCATATACCTGTGTGGTTCTTAAAATAATGAAATATCATTATTTCACAAAAATATTAAATCAGACTCCAAGAAGTCACAAATAAACATCTAAGACCAACAATAATCATAATAAGAAATTTTTACACGGATTTGATTTGAACAAATCAAAAGATTGAGGTGTTGATGGTGACGGGGAAGGAGCAGACGACGACGGAGTTGATGCAGCACGGCGATGGGTAAGGTGGTGGTGGCAACCACAGGGAAGAGACCGCCGGCGGAGGAGATGACGCAGCCCTAGGAAATCGATGCTTTTGGTCGAAAAAGAGACTGACGGTTGCTTCTATCTCTAGTGGTCTATTTTGTGGTGGAAAAGAAAAAGGGGGGAGGGGGGAGGGGGTATATGGGGTAAGCTGGGGTACACATGTGGTGTACCCCTAGCACATCCGTATAATTTTTTGGATTATTCTCTTTTACGAAGATGATACTTTTTAGGCCTGGACCTAATCTCCAGCCACTTACTACAAAGGAAAATAGCTACCCAAACCGAAAAAACAACAAGCAGCCAGAGAACCCATTCCGATGCCCTAATTTTCTTTTTCTTTGAACCCGATGACGGCGACGACGACATACGGCGGATCGCCACTTCCGGCGGCGGCATCCCGCTCGCCGCCAGCAGAGGGTTCCCTCCGAACGACGAAGGAGGGAACCCTTTGAGGAGAGACGGTGGGACGGGCCCGCTGAATCCGTTGTTGCTCAGGTTCAGGCTCTTGAGATTCGGGATCAGGCGGTCGAGACCGGGCGGGATCGGGCCGGTCAGGAAGTTGTTCTCGAGGTGAAGAACCTCGAGCGCATCCAGTCTTGCTATCGTTGTGTTTTCGGGTATGGACCCGCAGAGCCCGAATCCGGGTAGTTGGAGTCGGGCGACCCGGCTTCGGTCTGAATTGCAGGTCACCCCGGGCCAAGAGCTGCAAATCGAGTCGGAGTCGGAGGGGTCCCACCCCAGTCCATGGGGAACAGCAAAGCTGAGAAGGGATTGTTTGTCTGTGTCCAGATTATTCGATGTAACTACTGCTGCGGCTTCTTCTTCTTGGAGGAGAAGTAATGAGAGAATAAGAAGAAGAAACATATTTAATTCCTTATTAGAGGAAAATCTTCTTCAATTCTTCACCTAATAAAGTAATTATTTATGCAAATATCCAAATAGATAGCGCGGTATGGTATGGAGTACTTATACTTGCCACATTACCACAATGCAAAGTCACATTACCACAGTGCAAAGTCCTATTCCAGAAAAAAAACATAGAAGTCCTATTTTGATACTTTTCTCTATGTTTTACTTCTATTTAGGATGATTTCTAATATCTTTGATGTACATCCGCTTGAATACTCTTTTTCGAGTAAGTTATTTATAAGTTATTTTAAATTTATATGTCAGCGGATGATGTTTGTCTTTGCTTATAAGTGTACTTACAAACTCTTAAAAGTAAAAAAAAAAATTGGTTGGTATTTTTAATTTTTTTTGCAATATTTCTATATTTTGACTAGATTATTATTCACACAATTATCCTGCACCATTTATAAATATCTCTAATTAATTTATTATTTATCATTTAAGTCATTTTACTTCTATGAAAAAATACTTAATTTATAAGCAACTTATAAGTAAATTTTTTTATCAACAAAAAAGCTAATAAACACCATTACAGAAAAACACTCCATTTAATTACTTACGTACCTATTGGAGTATCATGGAATAAAGCAAAATGGCTTTTTAAATTGCCTATGATTCTTTTATGTAGTGAGTCAGCAGTTAATCGATACAACTCTCGACGCTCATTATTATGAGTCACTTGAAAATATTCACTTTGTGTTTTAAACATAGAGACCAGTATGCGTACATCGGATCCCTCTACCCCACATTAGGCGAGAGTCTTTAAGACACTAGTAAATGTTGTTGTTGTTGAAAATAATCACTCCATTCGTTCACAGATGTTCTTCCAGTGTTGACTTGACTTGTTATTTAAGAGTGTTATAAAAAGTATTGGCTTTCTAAGGATGTCCTTACTTTTAAAAGTGAGAGCTTCTTTAAGTTCTTTTAATAGAATTTGAGTAAAAGTGTTAAATATATTAATCCTTTATATATTATATTTGGGAGTTAAACTTCCAGAATTTTGACATTTGTCATGCTGACGGGGATTTTTTTGACACTTCATCATCCATGTCATTATAATAGAATTACTCAATATTTCAAACGGGTTGGATAATGATTCATTACTTTGAATTTTGTATTTGTTAAACACAGATTTCTCAGCATAATCGCGTTTAAAAATTTTTATATTTTATTTCATTATTAGAAAATATTTAAATTAAATAATATGTTTTTTAATACAGAGTATTTAAACAAGGAACTCATATTAAAAAATCAAAACAAACAAATTTATTCCAAGAAGGGATAAATTAGTATGTAGGACTAAAGTAAATCTTTATATATAAAATTTGAGAGTTGGTCTTCTAGGATTGTGACATTTGGACGGCTTATTAGACAACTTTTTTGATATGTCAGCATGTCATGTCAGCAAGTAATATTTAAAGAATTAGTTAACAAAAACACTTATTTTATGTAAATTGAATTTCGTATTTGTTAAACACATGCAGATTTCTCAACATAACCACGTTTAAAAACTTTTATATTCTACTTCATTATTGGAAAATATTAAAATTTAATAATATATTTTGATACGGAGTTTTTAAACAAGGAAGTCATATTAAAAAAATCAAAACAAACAAATTTATTCCAAGAAGGGATATATTAGTATGTAGGACTAAAGTAAATCTTTTTTTATAGAAATCATTCTAAATAGGACCAAAACATAGAGAAAAGTACCAAAATAGGACTTTCATGTTTTTTTCCCGGAATAGGACTTTGCATGTGGTAATGTGACTATGCATTGTGGTAATGTGACAGTGTACATGTGCAAATTACTGTACTTTCTTGGTAATGTATATGACCATGTTTGGTATTGTAAGTCCTATTTCGGGTGAAGAAATATGTATTTCCAATTATCACTTTACAATATCTTCAATGTTTTAGTCCTACTTTGGTCTTTCTCCCATCTTTATATATAAAATTTGAGAATTGGGCTTATAGGATTGTGACATGTGGCACGCTTATTAGACAACTTTTTTGACATGTTAGCATGCCATGTCAGCAAGTAATATTTAAACAATTAGTTAACAAAAACACTGTTTTTATGGAAATTGAATTTCATATTTGTTAAACACAGATTTCACAGCATAATCGCGTTTAAAAACTTTTATATTTTATTTCATTATTGGAAAATATTTAAATTAAATAATCCTTTACTATAATAAAGGAGACTCCGATTCACGACAATTCGACATTTGACATGTCTATTTGGCAAAACTTTAACATGTAAACGCCACGTAATAACTGAGTAAAATTTAAAGAATGTTATATACAAAGTGAGAAATTGATGCCGGTTAAATTGATGGCCTTTAAGATATTAATTGATAAAAAGGTTTAAATAATTTTTATATACGTGTTTATACCACGAAGGTTAAAAGGCAAAAAAAATTATATATATGATCCCCAATGTAATTTTTATTACATAGCACATGGCTTATTTTAATTAAAAAGAAAATAAATGATAAAAAGTATTCATGCACACCTCAAATTTTAACATCTTTGAGGTTAACATTATTTTTCAAATACTTCTACACCATTGAAAAACCTACTAGCAACTTGAATTCACCAAAAAAAATAAACGACCATAATATTGATGTAAAAAAATACTATGATGTTTATTTGAAACCAAAAAATATATGATACCCAAACACTATTTTCTTTAAAAATAAAATTGAATAATATAAATTTGATATTTCAAAATCTTTTTGAAAATAGAAATGTATTCTATGTATATTAAAATGCAACAAAAATATGAATGGAAAAATAATGCATTTTTTTAGTATAACACATACCTTATTTATATTAAATTTATTTTTAATTTTTTAAATAATAATAAGAACAATGAACATGTAATACCCCGTATTAAGATTGGAATGGGAAGAGCTTAAAAGGATTGAAAGTACTACTCACACCAACAAGGTGCATCTTCTTTTCGAGAGCTCATCACCTAAGAACTCCAAAGTTAAGCGTGCTTGACCACACGAGTGAGGACAAAGTGCGCGGGAAAGACTTAGGGCCAGTCTACAATCCTCTGAGCAGACGCTTACGGTCAGGGTGGGGGTCGAGGTGTTACAAATGGTATCAGAGCAACCCTGCGACCGTGACAGGCCAAAAGAGCTTAGTTCACCTAGCGAGGAAGATCTATGGGTTTAAAAAAAAGGATGCAACGAGCACGTTGCATTCCTAAGTGGGGGTGAATGTAATACCCCGTATTAAAATGGGAATGGGAAGAGCTCAAAAAAATTGAAAGTACTACTCATACCAACAAGGTGCATTTTTTTTGAGAGCTCATCACCTAGGAACTCCAAAGTTAAGCGTGCTTGACCTGGAGCAATTTTAAGATGGGTGACCCCCTGGGAACTTTTTTTGGGCGCGCACGAGTGAGGACAAAGTGCGCGGGAAAGACTTGTGTTGGTTTGTGGGGCCAGTCTACAATCCTCTGAGCAGACGCTTACGGCCAGGGTGGGGGTCGAGGTGTTACAGAACATATCTTTTGTATACCCTGAAGTTTTTCAGAAAATTTGGTATTAATTTTTTTGTGTTGTACACAATCAATCCCTCAAATATTATATTTTCCACTTTGGTTTTTTTCTATGATATTAGAAATCATGCAAGAAGTATACGGAGTATTTTCTTTATTCTTGAAAAAATATTGCATTAAATTTTATTTAGAATCAACAAAAAGTTTTGTTCGACCCCGTGCGTGGCACGGGTTCAAATACTAGTTACTTTAATATACATGAGTCTGTTTGCAGCGGCTCTTCTCCTCTCCTCATCAACGCCGTCACATCTCTTTCCTAGCAATCTTTCTTCTTCTCTTCTGGCGGGATGCATTCAGTCCACTCTATAAGCATTCAGTCTTCACGATTTAAGTAAAAGTTGGCGTTCAATCTTCACCTCCCAAGATGTTGGTAGCATGTTAAATATATTAATTACTTTAATATATTTAATATTATATATTATATTTATGGTTGTTACCTATTATAGCTAGAGTTATTATAATATATTTCCTTATTTATCTAGCCATTAATATGGAGAATTCTAGAATACTCAACTCCACATGTATATTCATTACTTTGCATTCCTCTAAATTATTCAAGCAATAAAGCATTATTTGTTATGTTTACAAAAAGTTCGAGGGTATAAATGTTACGTTTTTTATGTTTATAAAGTTCACTAAAAAGGAAATGTCTTTAACATTTTAGGACGATCCAAAAACAAAAGTAAAAAAAATATTTATGGACAAAGAGAATAATGTGTTACGTTTATAAAAATATGAATAACCGGCCGGGTCCATGCATAAGATTTCTAACTCCCTAATTTAAGGGAGGGAAAAGTCGAATCTATGTTTCGTAGAAGAAATAAAGAATCAAAAGCCGCAATTTTTAGCGGAAAAGCCGGAAACAAATGACTTTAGAGAACCGACAATATAATGACGATGTAGGTAAAATTCATTTCTATCGTTAAATATTTCCTAACAAGGAAATTTTACACGTAAAAGAAGAGAAATTGAGATAGAAAATACTCCGTAGTTTTGTTTGGTTCGAGAGAAAAAAAAATAAAAAAGTGGATGAAAAAGAAAATATAAAAGTAAAATATACTAATACTCTGTATGGATCAAGTAATTTGAAAAGGAAAGAAAAAAGAAAATGAGAAACAAAACATTTTTCTTATTTGGTTAAAGAAGAAAAGAAAAGAAAATTGAAAAGAATAGAAAATAAGAAGACAAAATATACGAGGAGAGAAAATAAAATTCCTTCCATTTTAGTGAGGAAAATGAGGAAAACCCATTTTCTTTTCTTTTCCTTCTAAATTCTTTGAACAAAATATAGTGTAAGAGGAGGGAAAACTAAATTCCTCCCATCATGCAATGCTACTCCATTTTCTTCTTTCATTTTCTTTTCTTTTTTCTTTTTAATTCTTTGAACCAAACATAGTGCAAGTATTTTCTAAAGGACTTTGATAGTGGGAGAGTGGCAGTTTGTCAAAAAATAAAGGGCGTTTTTTACGGAACATAATTTCTATCTTTAGGATTTGCATATTTTTCAATTAATTACCTAAAATTTATTTTTTTTTTATCAAAACTTTCATGAACTTGAAAAAAACTTTCATGATTATTTTTTTCAAATTTCAAAGTCATCTACCCATCATTTTACTTAGGTAGAAATTAAGTTGGACTTGTATTAGTGTTAGTATGATGACACTCATCATGCAATGCTACTCGAATGACCAAGTCAAATGACCAGTTTATAATTTGAAACCAATTTAATAAATTCTTGAAATACCATCTCTCTCCCAATGTATTTGTCGAGTTTTCTTTTTTCGAATCAAACTGGATAAACTTTTAGCTTTAGTTTCTCTCAATTTATATTACATATTAGTAGAATTAAATAAAATTTTGAAAATTCATAACAAGATAAAAATAATAAAATCATTTTTATACTAATATATATTACAATTTTTGTTTAATTGAATCTCAAAATTATATTGTTTGACTCCAAAAGTCAAAGACAAATACACTAGGATGAAGCAAGTATTTGGTATCGTTCATGTTTTTTATAGAAAATGAAGTTAACGTACATAACAGAAAAAATATCCAAAGTTGAGATGATGCAGATGAAATTCACCCTATTATAAATGAGAAATGATTTTTTATTGATATGTGCATAGTTGTACAAATTTCACAGAAAAAGAGTAACATCGAGTATTATAATTCTAAATGCTTTGTTTGGTAACACAAAATTATATATAAAATTGATATGGAATAGTATTATGATTCCAAATCCACATCAACATATTTTTGTGCTACTAAATCCAAATATTTTTGGAATTGAAATGGGAAATTTGAAATTAAAATTCAATTCCAAATCTACACAAATATTTCAATTTCATAACGGAAACTTACAATCTCACACCGTTCCAATTTAAGCTGTATTCAAAGAGTTAAACTTTAGTCACGCTTTTTACCCACTTGCTATCCATTTGAGAAAACTATATAATCTTGTCACCTCTTGTTTGTAAGACTTTTGATTTAATTTTTAAATATACTACCTTCGTCCCCGAATATTTGTTCAGTTTTATTTTTTTCAATCAACTATTTTCAACTTTTGACTTAAAATAAATTAAAATATATATTCTATACTAATTTGATAAAATAACATTTTGAAAATATTTGATATAATAAATCCAATAAAACTATTTTTGTATCAATATCTAATATCATTTTTATTTAATTTAAGATCAAAGTTTACTAATTTTGACTAAAAAAGATCAAAAACAGACATACTCAGGGATGAAGGAAGTATAAATTTTATTTTTTAATTCCATACCAATTTTAAAAATAAATTGAATTGAAAATAGATTCAATCAAACTTCGTAAACAACAACATGTGATTTAATTTAAATTGCCTTTGTGATGTTGTAAGTCAGAAATGGCATTAAAACCAACACCAATTACCCAAGGAGATGTGCACTTTGTGCTTAAGGACTTGGTGTTGCTCCAGAGATCTTTCCTTGAATTAACAGAATGATTGCCATAAACACAACTGAGGACAAATTTTCTATTATCACTTCTCTTCTGAATGTGAAAAATGAGTAACTTGGCATTCCTCTTCACAAATAAAAAGGTCATAAACAAAATCATCCCACCACACCCATGTTTTGTTATTGCATGAGATGTGATCCTAAAGGCAAATAATAGAAGTTCTGTTTAGTTGGAGACCCTCACCTTCTCAAATGAGTAAATTACACAAATAGTCCCTTAGAATAGGTGGTTTCCATATTTAGCCCGCAATTCTTCATGGTCCTCGCTGCGATGCCCATTTTCCAGAAATGAACCAAACAGAAAATATACATTTTCAGACTTTCAGCCAAACACCAAAAAAAGAAAATGATTTTTGAAAAATAACTCATTTTCCTGATGGCATTTTCCTAGTGACCCTAATTATGGAATCATTTTTAAAAATTGAAGGTCACAGATGTAATAGGAATTTTCTTAGTGACTCTAATTATGGAATCATTTTCCACATCGGAGAATGTCTTACAAAGCAAAAGGAATAAAAATGTGGAGATGAAACTGATGGACGTCTAAACGAGATCATTAAATGCCAAGGTCATCCAAGTTTGTTGATAATTCCTTTAAATTTCAAATGTTTGAATTTTAATAAATTTGCGACAAACTTGGGTTTCCTTGGCAAATATACATGTCCTTAATTTTTTTTAGTTTTATAACTTCCCCTGTTTATATTTTCTACATTCCGGATTAAATTATTTGTTAACTATTCACATAATCTAACTTTATTTACTTTTTTTCTTATATTCTTTACTTAATTGGAAGAAGTTATAGTCATGTCACCTCTTCTTTCATACTGTAGAATTTTTGATGTAGTTTTTTATTAGTAAATTTTATTGTTTTATACTTTTATTCTTTCCTCATTCCCAATTAAATTGATTTGAAAATAAATTCAACCAAACATTGTACACTAAAATAGAGAATTTCATTGAAGGGTGGACTAACATTTGTATAGATTTCATTGAAGGGCTGCCGGAAAGTTCAGGGCAAGGAAGTCATTTTGGGGTGGTTGATAGTCTTAGCAAATATGGACACTTTACTAGTCTACAACATTCCTACACAACACATATTGTAGCCCAAAAGTTCTTAGACAACATTTTAAGTTACATGAACTGCCGACTATAATTACCAGTGACAGAGATATTGACTTAGGAGTGAGCATATTATCCGAACCGACCGTGCAACCAAGGTAAAAAAAACGAACCGCTCGAAATTTTCGGTTTCGGTTTCGGTTAGTAGGTGTCTTAAGAGTCGGTCAATTCGGTTAATCGGTCGGTTTTCAAATTTGGGCTTGAATCATTAAACCCGACCGAATAACCGAACTATTACCCAGCCCGAAACAGCAAATCCCAAATGCCAAATACCCAATCCAAATTAAATACCCAATCCTAAGCAACCCAAATGGAAAAATACCCAATCCTAAGCAATCCAAAATTCCAAATTTATGAGATTAGTGGACACAGTTTGGGCTTGAAGTTAGAAAACGAAAAAACCCTATCCCCCCTCGTCACTATCGTCATTCATCAGTTCTTCCCTTCTTCTCCGTTTCCTGCTGCTCTGCCTCGCCTCTCGCCAGTCACCAATTCACCATCATCGACCAATCGGCCATCGTTGTCGTTGCCATGGGAAGTTCTTAGCCAAGACGATGTCAGTTCCGGTGTGTACTCCCTAATCCCCATCGACATCTCAATTTTTTTCCTCTATTAATTATTTGATTATTATGCTTCCAATCATCTTTCCCCAGCCTCTCTACTTAATAGTTTTTTTGCTATGCAAAACCCAATTTCCCCACGCCCTTGCCTATTTTTTGTATATATAGTTCGGTTTATAATAACCGACCGAAACTTGTAGAAATATTATTAGAACTAAACTTGAATGATTTGATTACACATAGATCCGCTATTTATAATAGCTACATGACCATGACCTAATTACGAGCCCAACAAGAATGAGCCCGTTAACGACAAACCCTACTACATTCCTTAACACTCCCCCTCAAAACGGTTTCAGTTTTTCTCGGTTATCCAATTATATCGGCCGGTTTCGGTCGGTTTTTAGATAGTAAAAAACAATTCGGTTAGTTCGGTTTTGACCCGAAACTGACCGAACCGACCCGATTGTCACCCCTAGATATTGTACTCCTAAGTGATTTCTGATAGTCGTATGAACTATTTCAACACAATTAACCTTTTTAAATACTATTATCCGAGACAATATTGATTCCTCAGAAATTAAGTGTTTAAGAATTCGTGGGTTCTCAAAAATCAAACAGACGAATAATTTATAATTATAATCAAATTCATGAAAACAAAAAGCAGGATGAGTTATACTTGGAATCATCTGGACGAAATAGAACACCAACCGACCGAGTTCTTACTGAGTTAACGATCCGTTCATCTTCAACCACAGCACTGTTGCAGAATAGAAGAAGGGGTTTCTTTCAATGAGATCGGGCCGGGGCGGAATAGATTATGGATCTTGACTCAACTCGCTCAAATTAATCCCACACCGGACAATCCCATACCAAAAACACCAAATTTAATTATTGCTATAAAATTAATGTATGAATTGGATTCATTTCACAAGTTTATACTTTCTTTGAAAGTTGATTTTTTTATGGTGATTATGCAATTCTAAAAAATTCTATATATATATATATATATATATATATATATATATATATATATATATCCACATGTATTTTTAAAGGACCAACAGACAATTATAATAAATTAGTATTTTAATCCGTGCATCGCATATGATTAAACAAATTTTTTGTCACTTTTGTAAATTATCTTTAATATAATGTTTTTAAATGAATTAATATATTAAACTATATGCAATGCATTCTTTAACATTATAGAAATTAAAATCAAAGTAAAATAAATTATAAAAATCACCATAAATAGGACTAAAACATAGAAAAAAGTACCAAAATAAGACTTTCATGTTTTTTTTTCGAAATAAGACTTTGCACTGTGGTAATATGGCACTGTACATGTGCACATTACTATACTTTTTTGGTAATGCACATAACCATGTTTGTTAATGTAAGTCCTATTTCGAGAATAAAAACATGGAAATCATACTTTAGTATATTTTCAATGTTTTAGTCCAACTTTGGTCTTTCTCCCTATATTATGTAGCATTTAATATTTGGTAATAAAAATTTCTATATATAAATCAAAAGTGAAAACCTCCAAGTCCTTTTTTAAATCTATATATAAAATCTAGGTTTACTAAATTATTACAAATATATAATTCTTCTCACTTCTTAATTAAAAAAAATATACGACAAAAACATTGGTGATTTTATTATTCTTCTCCCCGCATAAGCTTGACACTTAGCGACTTTTTAGCAAAGAGAGTCTCAAATATTATATTAAATGATTATATTTTTTATAACTAAAAAGAAATTTTTATACAATCCTCTTTTAATTATGAAATATTATAAAATGTTAATTGAAATTGTAACAAAAATCACTCTAGCTTGGATGGTAAGGAACTCAACTAATTGGCTAAGAGATCTTGGGTTCAAACCCTCATGATGGTATGCTTTTGGAAAAAAATTGGCAAAAAAAAACTGGTCCGACCGGTTCGACCGGCCAATTTGTCTAAAAGGGACGTGACACATCAGCTCTGCCACGTGTTGCACGTTAGCTCTGCCAAATGTCACGTTCTTAGAGCTCGGAGTCTCCTTTATATATATAAAGGATAAAGGATTTTTAGAAAGATTTCAGAGTATAGAACATGTTTGGTATGGTTGCAAGATTTTCATTATCATTTAAAACTAATATTTTTAACCATATCTTTGCTGACAAAGGTGAAATAACAGCATAAAGTTGGTCATCAATGAACATCGACTTAGTTAAAAAATTCAACAAATGACAATGTTTGACCTTGACTTTAGTTAATAGTCATAACAAAACATAAAACTATTGAGAATTATCTTCTCTAGAACTTCATGGGTAGTCTTGGACCAGATGGTACCAAATTCATTTTAGGTATTTAGTGTGACTATCACTACAATAGAAGGGTTTCAATGAGATCGGGGTTACAATAAAAAATGATGTTTGGTCAATTTTCTCAAGTCATTTCTAATAAAACATACGGAGTACCAAATACGGAGTATCTTTCAATTAATCATCATTTGAATAACATTACGAATGATTATTTTGGAAATAAACTCAATTACAAAGGAATTAAAAATCAATTTATCTTACACGTAAGCAATTAAAACTTATTGAGAAATGATTTGAAAAAATGCTGAAAGGGTCATTTTTAGAAATTTACTCATCAAAAAATGTGTAAGATAAATAGAGGGTGCGTGTGTGCCATTTGAGACTCCTTCATTCCCTAGAAAGCATTTTAAATTTTTAACCCATTCCATCCCACACTGGACGATGCAGTACGACCAAGACACAATATAATGACGGCGAATGAAATGAATATCTATACTGTTATGTTTATAATTCCTTTGGAAGTTCAGGTTTTGAAATCCTCTTATGTTTCATGGGACGGTGGGAGTACTTCTGTGTAGAAATTAAGTAGTCTTAATTTTTTTAAAAAAATATACTCCCTCCGTCCCATGAAACTTTTCTCCTTTTTTTTTATCTGTCCCACAAAATACTTCTCATTTCTATTAAAAAATCACTTTTACCCCTTACTTTTTCATACCCTAACTATCATATCATACCTTTTTACTAATAATCTATCCATCAAATCATACTTTTACCCATCACATCAAAGAACATTTTTGGAAATTCAATACTAAAATACACTCTCATTAAATCCCTCCTAAAAAGCAAAAGTTCTATGTTTCATGGGACGGTGAGAGTACTTCTGTGTAGAAATTAATAAAATTAAAATTTTATTTCATTAAATATAAACATGATATCTTTATCTTTATATATTAAATTTGAAATTTAAACTCATAGAATTGTGACAAGTGGTGAGCCTACATGCAACATTTTAATAAATCATCTGCCTCCTATTAATGACTTGAATGACATGTCGATCTTAATCAAAATATGGATACATCCAATTTAAGTTATATACGAAGTGCCGCTATAATTTTTTGGAAAAATATCAAAATAGGAGTAAAACTTGAAGAAAGTACCAAAATAAGAATTCCATATTTATTATCCTCACATAGAAGCTACAATGCAAATAATGTCAATATATAATGTCATAAAACATTATGACTAAATAACTTATAATTTACAAATATGTGACTAAAATTTTTAAGACTATACGAGTATTTTCTAAGAGAATGATATGTGTCATGATTATATACCTCACTTCTAGACAAATGAGTGAAGGCCAAATAGGATTAGTGCCTCCTGTGGTTTGAAATATTGACATCAATGCTATCTCTGTTTTCAAAACTTAATTCTAAAGTTGTCGTGGTTTCAAAACATTGCACCCACACCCTCTCTGATCTTTTTCTGGAAATTTTCTAGCGAAGAGAGAGCATTGGTGCCTATTTTGCGGTCAATTTTGATTTCGCTCATTTCTTATTTTTCATTTATTATTTGGTTTTTTCTGTTCTTTTAACTCTTTTTTATCTCATTCTTTCATTTTCCTAAAAAAAAAATTTAAATTTCTTTTCCCTGTTTTAAAATATTTAAAATTCTTTGTGTTTGAAATTAAAATAGAAATATCTTACAAATCACCCTACAAGAAATCATCACTAAACTGCAGCACCAACCTTACAAATCATTTTCCTGGATCAATGAGCAGTTAAGGTGGAAGGGAAGATTGGTAGTGGGTAATGATCCACAGCTCAGGAAGACTATAATTTTCTTCGTGGAATAACACTCCTCAAGGTGGTCCACTCAGGCATGGATGCCACCATTAAAAGGCTGCAAACTTTATTTTACAGGAAATCTCTCATTGCAGATGTCAAGACTCATATAAACAAATGTGATGTGTGTCACATATGATGCTACTGCCTCACCTTGTTGTTGCAAGCTTTACCCATCCATGGGGAAGGGTGGACTAACATTTGTATAGATTTCATTGAAGGGCTGCCGGAAAGTTCAGGGCAAGGAAGTCATTTTGGGGTGGTTGATAGACTTAGCAAATATGGATAGTTTATTAGTCTACAACATCCCTACACAACACATATTGTAGCCCAAAAGTTCTTGGACAACATTTTAAGTTACATGAACTGCCGACTATAATTTCCAGTGACAGAGATACTTTATTCCTTGCGTGATTTCTGGTATAAATAATTACTTCATATCAAACAAGTATTCAAATAAGTAAAATTCAATATTCCAAAGAGACATAGAAAAAATTCCGTATAAAGGAGGAAGTATATCATAACTTTACACACGTATAACTCTCTTTGATGAGCAAAAAAAACCATTTTAAACAATGCATTTCAAACGTGCATTCAAATTCTGAAAATGAACAAATTATAAGTTTATCGCCCTTTTTATTAAGGGGCACTCTTTTGATCCACTTATTCTTCTTTTTCTAATTCTATCGTATCTTAGAAAGCATTGGAAATGTGCACAATTTCAACACAATTGACCTTTTTAATCACTATTGTCCGAAACTATATTGATTTCTCAAAAACAAAACAGATGAATAATTCATATATTTACAATCAAATTCATGATAACAAAGATCAGGATGAGTTATACTTGGAACACCAACAGACCGAGTTCTTACCGAGTTAACGATCCATTCATCTTCAACCACAGCACCGTTGCAGAATATGAAGTCGATTGTCCGGGAATCTTCAATGAGATTATGGATCTTGATTCAACTCGCTCGATTAGTCCCACACCGGAAATTCCCATACAAGCAACACATAATTTAATTATGGCTGTTGTAAGGATAAATGTTTGATTTGGATTCATTTCACAAGTTTATAATTTCTCTTTGGAAGCCACAGATGCAAGCACAATTCTTTGTTCATCTAAGTGTATGAACTTTACATTATTGTTCTAGCATCTGAGCCTTCCAAAGAAAAAATAAATCTTGTTATTTTTTTTATGGTTATTCAATTCTAAAAAGTTCTATAAATATTCACATTTTTTTAAAGGACCAAGAGACAATTACAATAAACTAATATTTTAACTCGTGCGAGATTGAACAAAATTTTTGTCACTTTTGTAAATTATCTTCAATATAATATTTTTAAATGAATTAGTATCTGAAACTATATGCAATGCATTCTTTAACATTATAGAAATTAAAATCAAACAAAAATACTAAAATAATGTCATGCCACATTTTATATACTACTCCATCCTAGCACAATTTAAATCGTCTGTTTCAGTTTACGATTATTGACTGAAATTATTTTTAAATCATTTTATATGAAAAACGGTGTAGAATTAAAAAATAAAAGTTGCATATTTAAAAACTACATCAAAGAGTCTACAAAATTAGTAGTGACATAACTATATTATTTATCAAATGACTTAAAGAAAAAATAAAGAAAGAAACTGGATGAAATTTGACCCTGTAAATAATAAACGGATAATTTAATTTGGGACGAAAAAAGTAAATAATTAAACCACATTGATGAATTCAAGAGAAGCCACATTAAACTAGAGGCCACATTAAACTAGAGGCAGAGTTTTAAATTGACAAAACATAATTTCCATCTAATAACTCACATAGCTAGTCAGCGTACTATTAACATCAACATTCGAGTGGGAGGAGCATAGAATGTAGCCCAAGCTCTAGTAACTCACATAATACCGCTTCACTAGGGGTGGGGTGGGGGTGGGGTGGGATTGGGGGGGGGTAGTCTCTTAAAAATTGTCTCTACTTCCGAATAAGAGTAAGATTTGCGTACGTTCACCCTCCCGGAGCCCAGGTTTTACTTTTTGTAAGATTGTACTAGGTTAGTTGTTACTACGGAGGAAAGACCACCTCGGGCATATAGTGGCGTGGCGAGAGATTGTTATATGGGCAATGCTCCCATTTCAGCTTCTACGGCCTCCCTGTCATCAAAACAAGCTGTCAATCAACATTTGTGTTGCATTCATTAGGCCTTGTTCTCTTCAACTTAATTTTTTTCTACTAGCTACTTATGCTTATCACAATCAGATCAGCAGAGATCAGATCAACATCTTTAAATTATAGAAAAAAGCTATTTTGACCGCAAGATTTGAACCACACCCTCTTACAAACATTACAGACATTCACAGACATCTGTCACTGTTCCGTGTCTGTTAGAGGTAGGTAGGGTTCAAAGTGGGGTTCAAATCTTGGGGTCTCTCAAGCATAACCCTAAATTATACTACAATCAGATTAGATTCAGAAACCTCACTGCCTCTTGCATTTCCCGGTTTCCTGGATCCAACGCTAATGCGCGGGAAAATGATCTCTCTGCATTTGGGTAGTTCTGCATGCATTCGTAATGGTTTGAAGTTGGGAATACAGAGCATGTTGCATGCATTTAACTAGACGAAAAGAGGTTTAGGGCAAAGAAAAAAATGAAGATTGGCATACTTTGAGCAACCTCCATGCTACGCCTTCTTGGTAGTGTGCTATCGGCCAGTCAGGTTTCAAAGACACACAGGCTTGAGCATCAGATAAAGCAGCATTGCCGCAACCTGCTAAGGAATAGCACAGACTCCTCCTAGACAACAGTGTTGCATCACATGGATTCTCCTTTATTGCCTGTATGTCATAGAAATTTCCCAAAAATTAAGGATGCATATACAGCTAGGTGCCTAGGTAGCACAAAAATGCTTAAATCTGACATTTTAATTATATGATCTAATGAGAACAAAAAAAAAACTTGTGTGGGTACTACACATGGCAAGCAACACCCCAGGGAGTATTATGCCTGTGTTACTCAGTATATGTGCATAAATGAGTTGCAAAATGATCACAGTAATTATTATATTCTAGGTTAACTGATTCAGAACACATAGTTGGATTCAAGTAAACGAGCCTCCATGTAGGCCTGCAACAATAACGGTACATAAACAGCCATTTGATCTCCATCAAAAACAGCATTGAACCCCTTGGGAACTAACATATGTTACAGAATAGCACAACCCTCCAATAAAATCAAGATACATTAGGTGTTATGAAATATGAGTTGAGAATAAAGATAAGCCCAAATCACCCTGAGCAATGGGGATCTTGGGTCAATTCCTATGAGGATTAGTACTTAAATTCCTAAAATATAATATATGTGAATATGTGATGAAATGTTTCTAGAGAAAAAAGATAAAACCGAGAATACAACGAACATAGTTCCATGCTATTCAGTGGAGGACTGGGCCAATTGCTATGAGGGGAAAGGGGGAGGGGTAAAAGAATTAAAGAAAAAAGAAATATAATTCCACCAACCACAAAGATAACGCAACACCACGTGCCTTGAAGTTTCTTCTAAATACAAACTAACAACAAGATAACTTTAATGTTGAAAAAGACAATACAAACTTACCGTATTGTACCAACCAGCTGCAATTGCGTAATTCTTTCTCTCGAATGCATCTTCAGCATGTAGCTTTGACTTGTGGAATACTTCTTTCCGAACATTAGCTCTCTGTAAGTGTGCCAACAAATAGAAGAATGAACTAATGCAACACAAAAGCCACTCATAAAATAACAAAGCCACATGCAGGGCTCATGAGAAGCAACAAGGGTTGAGGTTTAGAAGGATGCATAAACCAAACAAATGAAAACAAGAAGAATATATAAGCAGAAGTCTTAATTCATAAACATTGCATGATTGAAAAAAATTGGGCAAATTGAAGCTCCTACAGTCCCTCCCTCACATTCCCTCTTACCACATCTCTAACGATCCAGAGAGGGATGCATTTATAGAGTACATGTGTGTGGGTGTGTGTGTATTGTTTGTGCGTATGACTTCAGCAAAATAATAAATAAATCACAGAAAGAAAATGATGTTGAGCCAAAACCAATTGTTTAGATTCTTCAGAGTCAACATATTTGACAAGTCCATCAACACTCCAATCCGAGATAGAAGGAATGGGCTTGGTCACTGGAAACAGAACTGCGAGTGCCTTGAGATGTCTTAAGTTCACAGCATTCTCCAATGGAGTCAAACCAGTCTGACATTAGCAAACATACAAATGAGCACTGTTGAGATGAAAAAACTAACTCAAAACAAAATAATAAACTGGATTTTAGTATAAGTAAAAGAAAGTGAGAAAGTAGGTTGCAATAAATATTCAGGTTGAACATATACGACCAAAGTGTAGTAAAGAAGGCGAAGAAGGTACAAGATGTGAGTGCTTTGATCAAGGTATGCCCACATGTAGATTAGAAAGAGTATTATTAAGAGGTCGTGAAAATAGAGCAATTCTTATTCATTTTCCTTTAGTTTAAATCCATAATGCATATCCCTATGAAAAATTTTAATGCATTCAGGGTCAGTAGAGGAATCGATGAAATAATTAAGTCGGTCCATGGGTTCTTATATTTTTCTTACATTTCTAGTACCAACATGAGCTCATCAATTGAATCAGAAAACGGATCGCAGCAAGTCATTACAAAAAAAATGGATATAACTAAGGACAAGAACTAAATAAACAATAACTCACGACATCCGCAGTATTTGGATCTGCCCCTGCCTTCAACAGATACGTGATTATTTCAACTTGTTCATATGCAACTGCTCCTTGAAGTGGTGTTGAACCATCCACATTGATGTTGGGATCGGCTCCAGCCTCAATGACAAAAGAGAAGCTAAGTTAAGCAGCAAAACGCAAAAACAGCCAACAACAATGTGTTATATTTTTTTAATGTTAATTAAAAAAAGCTGCCAGTATGCCTGTAGGTGACTGAGTGCTAACAGATTTCCAACACAATTGACCTTTCTACTATTTGAAGCAATCAAGTTTTTTGTTGAAATTGGTCATATATTTCATCCATGAAGTAGAAATGTATGCCTTTAATCATTGATATTAACACACTTGCTTGCCACTACTATGATTAGATTTTCTGTCATCAAACTTTCACGTCTTATAACTTGAGCCCCCTAATATTAGCCCCTAGTCCCCTACAATGACAAGCTATTTTCATATCTTATTTTCAATAAAATAATAATAATAAAAAAAGTAAATTCCATAAATGGTCCCTTATACTAGGGGGTTTTCATATTTTAATCCCCAATTCTAAGATATTATGTTTGTAGTCCTCAGTTTTGAAAAGTTATTCCAAAATTTAGTCTCGGACAAATATGACCAAAATTTTTTCCCACATATAGTCCCCAAAGAACTAATTATAAAATGGTTTTCAAAAATTATGGAGCGCAAATGTAATATCTTATAATTGGGGACTAAATATGGAAAACTCCATGTTATAAAAGACCATTTATGAAATCTACTCTAATTATAATAGAGTTTCTTTGCCTCATTTATACCTCAATGTTATCATCATCCAATTATGGTGAACCACAATAAGCTCTCATACACCACCCTTCCCAAAAATAAATGTGTGTGCAAGAGAGCTAATTGAGAAATCTTGAAGTCAAACAATGTAATACCTTGACTAGTAGATCTGTGATCTCATATGAGTACCAGCTTGACACTATCAGCGGAGCAATTGGACGCACAACCAAATTGGGCTGCATAAAGGACACAAGAGATTCACAAATAGAACTGCATCCAGCTAGATGTAGAAGTCAAAAAATCTGTGACCGACATACCATCATAAAATCATACAAATAAATATAACATGTCATGAAGCCAACCCGAGCAAAAGAATCTAAAAAGATGCATATTATGTTTGTATCCTTACATTTGCATTGTTCTGTAATAGAACTTCCACAGCTTCTATACTGCGGTAAAGCGTAGCAAACATTAAGGGTGTCCACTGATCATTAGAACATGCATCTACTTCAGCACCCCGGGAAATGAGCAATTGTATGAGGTCCTTCTGTCCTGAAAATGCTGGAATTGTAGAAACCGAATGAAACTAATCTACGGAATTAGTTAGTACATAAATTTCTCTCAAAGCATCTTTTATAAACTGAATACACATTAACATTAAGTAAAAAAACAAACCATTATGAGTAGCATAATGCAAGTAAGTTAAGCCCTCTTTGTTAGCTTTTGCAACGTCAACGCCATTGTTCACAAGATAAAGAGCAGCCTGGAGACGCTTTTCTTGAATTGCATAATGCAAAGGAGTGTTACCTACAAAAAAAACATCTCACACTTCACAAACACCAAGCAATTTAAGATGACTAAATTAAAACGGGGGGCTTTAACTGGTTATTTCAGTCATACTGCCCACAGCAAAAAAAAATTGCAAGTGTGGAGTACCTTCTTCATCTTGGGCATTAATATCAAGCTTCAAGTGGTTCACCAAATACTTGCACATGAACGTATTTCCTGCACGAGCCGCAAAGTGCAGCGCTGTACGGCCTTCCTTATCCCTAATATTGTCTAAAGTTCCTTGAGCACCAACTTGAAGCTTCGCAGCAAATTCTAAACACAAACATTTTACACTTGTATTTAATCAACGCCAGTTCACAGAATACAACAATGGGAGAAAATGCTCCTAGAAACCCATGAAACCTACTCTTGACAAGCTTCATTTCACCACAACGGGCAGCATTGAGGAACATAGTGCACTTGCATATACCTGCAAGTTTAGGGTTTAAGACTTGACAGTACACAACAAAATCAACTGTTCTGCCAAACATTAGAAGAAGATCTGAAGAAAAAACCCAACGAAAGACCTGGATGTGACGAGCAAACAATAGTTCCATCCATATCTCCATTCCTCCATGGTGCGTAATAAAACCCTAGTGCGCAGCGAAGAAGATGCATATGTATATATATGACCATTAAAACCCCTATATCCTCGATACGAGTAACAAAACAGCCAGGAAGCCATACAGATACGTACAATGATGCATGTATATACGAGTTACGGCCATGAAAACAGAGCAAAACTAACTTACTTGGAGGAGCTGGCGGAGTCTTAGCCATGGAAGTCCGCTTGATCTTCCTTTTAAGCTCCAAGATTTGCCCCAGGTGGAGAAGGATTTGGTTCTTCTTTTTCGTTTTTTGCTTCCTTCTCCTGCTCTCTGTTGCTGCTCTCTATGGACTCAAAATGGGATGGTTTACTGTGTAAGAAAGAGTGATGCTTGTGGGAAATATAAGTGGTGAGGAGAAGAGTAGTGTAAACTTGGAGTTTTATTAATTAAGTGTACCCCTAAATATTTTTGAAAAAAAATTAAGATATAATTTGATGTACCCAACATTTTTGATAGACCAAATGTGGATATTTTCAAACATGGAGACAATGTTAACCAAAAGTATCAACCTTGAATTCTTCCTAATTGAAAAAAAAAGAAAAAAAAGAAAAGAAATCATCTAGAATAAAAATAACATGTTTTTATCTTTTACATAAAATTTTGCACTATGATAATGTAACATTATATATTGGTATTTAACAATTTATATTATTAGTATTGTAACTTCTATTTTGAGAATAAAAACACAAAGATCTTATTTTAAATTTTTTTCTATGTTTTATTCATGTTTTGAACTTTCTGCTATAAAAAATTTAGTTCTCAAATTATCCTAATAAATTCTGAAGTACGGAGTATATTTTCAACTTAATCGATTTATTTTCAAAATGAGAAGGGAAGAGTTGTGAAAAAAAGTTTAAAAACAAATCAAAAATCAAACCAAATAATTACTCCCTATGTCTCAATTTATATTGCATGTTTCAGTTTACGATATTTGGCTAAAATTATTTTCAAATCATTTTATATAAAAAAAATGGTATAGAATTAAAAAATAAAAATTACATATTAAAATATTACATCAAATATTTACAAAACTAGTGATGACATGCTTATTTTATTTTATATATTCTTATTTTTCATTTTCTCTTATGATGTTCTCCAAAAAAATATTTTGTTTCTAAAAATAAATAAATAAAAATTTTAATTTGAGATGAAGAGTGTATAGGTTATTTGTTTAAACAGGGGAGTGTAAAAATAAAAAAATGAAACTTCATAATGTAGAGAAAGAAGGGACATAAATGTCATTTTAACTCTAAAAATAAGTCAGAAGGTGTGCGTAATTTTGTATGCACCATTTGAAAATATTAAGAGTTTAAGAAATAACGAGCATTTTGATGCTTCTTTTTGTAAACCACGTAAACACCATGCTATTATGCCTAAAGTTTCTCTATCAATTTTGAAAAGTAAGATATCATTCAATTCTTTCGAGACAATCTTTTCAACATTTTTTAATATTACAATATTTTTAACGTTTATTTACAAGGTACACCCTATGTAATTTTACTATTTTACCATATATTGGGGATGGCGAATGTAAATTGTACTCCTAAGTTAAAATTCTTAGTTTTATGCGTCTACTTCCGATTTAGAACATCAAGACCGCATAGCGCAGTGGATTAGCGCGTTTGACTTCGGATCAAGAGGTCGTGGGTTCGACTCCCACTGTGGTCGATTTTTTGTAAATTCCCAGAATTTTTTTTATCTCCGATTGCGGTGCGCGAATAAATATTTGAATATTCTTTTAAAAAACTCTTAAAATTTTAACTCGTCTCGACTTTCTTATTTTGAGACGGAGTGAGCATTATGTTTACACAAAACAAACGACTCAATCGGTTGAATACATTTTTACGTAAAGATTTGTGTATAAATTTTCTTTAGTTCACACTTCACACTTAATTTGAAAATTGGCCATTTGAGCGCGTGCTCGAGTATGGATACCATAGTTCGCACCTACACCAAACCGGACCAAAGGCGGAATTGAACAAAATGGCCATTTAAGACCGAAGATCGGATCTAAATCTATTCGAATTTAGACTGGATCGGACTGAAATACTTGGACCAAACCGTTCAGGTCCGATTGGATTGAAAAAAATAAATTTTTAATATATTTTGATCTATTAATTATGTTTTAGTTTTTTTAATTTCTACCATGTAAATAAGACAAAAAATAATTCTTTTTGAACTGTTAAAAAAATTTACTTAATAAAAAACCTTTTTAATTAAATAAGTTAAGATATCTATCAAAATAGAACATCAACTTGTAATAGCGAACTTCAAAAGTAGAGTTTTAATGTTTAGGTCTGGACCTAACAGTCCAAAATCTGAATGCTTAAATTTTATGGATGAAAGACCGACAGTCGGTTAGGTTCGGTCCGGACCTAACAGTCCGGTTTGGTCAGTTTTTTTTAGTCTGGACCTAAACTTGAAACAACCCTAATTTTTAATTCGTGCATTACTATTTACTATTTTATAAAGCGCGATTTAGTATTTTGTAATTCTTGCACTATCACTTATGGAGCCTGTTACCCTCACCCCACTTTGTACCTTTTTTGTACCCCAAAACTTTGCACTTACATGTAATATCAGGGCAAAGCCTTGAGATACAAAATGAGGTACAAATATAGGGTACAAGTAGAATTTTCCATCATTTATTGGTCCTGGACTTTTAGTACCTTACTTAGTTACTTGTTGTACTAACACTTTTTATTTTTCACTAAATTTTATTTAGTGTCAGATTAGAAAGAATCTTATAATCCCTATATCTCAAATTATATTACAATTTTAGAATAACAAGGCAAAAGCATGTATTTTTAAAATGATTATATGTACAAATAGGTATAAGAATAAAATTAAAAAAGAACTTACATATTAAAAAACTGCGTTAAAAATTCTAAAAACAAGAAATAACAATAACATTTTATTTTATCAAATAATTAAAAAAAACATAAAAGAAATAAATAATATCGAGATGTGAGAGAAAAAACTATATATAATCTATTGCGAAACGAAGAGAACATAATTAGCTTTATTTAGGGCCTGTTTGAGAATAGCGTTAGCGATTAGCGTTAGCGTTTTGAAAAGGCTATCTACGGGCAGCGTTTAGCGTTAGCATTTTTAGAGTGATTTGCACCGTTAAAATTTTATCCAAAACGCTAACACTAATCTCTAACGCTATTCCCAAACAGCCCCTTAAATTACCACTACATGTGTTCCCAGCTAGTATTTTTTTTCTTTGAAAATACTCCGTATGATGTTATGTTGCTTTAATTTAAACAGTTTACGCTTTTGTCACCCAAGATCATATAACATCTTCGTAATGAGATAACAACGCATCTATACCACAAGAATTGTAATCGATCAAAAACTAATCAATAAAAGCACATAACATAAACATTTCAATACAAAATGAGCCGTTGTAGGAAGCGAGCCACTATATGGTGTTTAATGCATGTTTGTTGTCATACCACTATGTTGTAATTCATTCACGACACCATACACCAAAAAAACAAAAATGCTAAGAACTCCACAAATGACAATCAAAGACAGTTTAAAGATAGATACACAGAAGATAATTATTTGTGAATAGAAATAATTATCGTTTGTGTATGTATAAAATTATATGCAGTGGTCATTCATGAGAGCAACGTTCCTAACGTGATCCCCGAAAATAGCCAAGGTTTCAGCAATCTCATACTCCAACGTTATTATATACTCCCTCGTCCCAAAATAAATTTCCATTTTTTACTTTTTGAGGATTTGAGGGAGAGATATTTTGGTGTTCACTTTCCAAAAATACCTTTGATGTGATGTATAAAAGTAAGATGTGATATGTAGATTATTAGTAAAAAGGTATGATGTGATAGGTAGAGTATGAAAAAGTAAGGGGTAAAAGAGGTTTTTTAGAAAAGAGAAATTTATTTAGGGATAAAAAACGAAAAATGAAGTTTATTTAGGGACGGAGGGAGTACTTACTTCCTTCGTTCAAGTTATTAATTGAGTTTGACCTTTTGGGTCTAACTAGACAAACTTTGATTAAATGATAGTTGTATTAGATATTACCTTGTAGTACACAAATGGTTTCATTCAAATTATCTTGCAAAACATCATCAAAAATTTATTTGAAGTATCTGATAGCAAAACAATATGAAATGCAAATTTGAAGTAATTAAAAAAGATTGATTATTATGAATAAAAATATTTTCAAAGCGTCAAAGTATTATGGAATGATTTGGCATTACCATGACATGATATCATACTGTTAAGGGCAGTGGGTATACCTGTAACGCCGACCGGCGTTATGCCGGTTTTCACGCCCCGGGGGCGTTAAACACCGCCCCCGGCGGCGTTACCCGGGCGTTACCAGGCCTGCGTCAAACGAATGACGCATCGTCATTCGTCTCCCCCTCCCCCCTAACGGCTATTTGAGCCGTTGCACCCCCAAATTCAAAAAAAAAATTATTATAAATTCAAACCCCCCCTCCCAATATCTCACATCATCTTCAATCTCTTCTTCTTCCCAATTTTTAAATTTCAAAATTCAAACCCCCCTCCCAATTTTCAACATGAATCCTTCCGGCTCCGGCTTCTTTTCCGACAATCTCGCGCCAAGCGACGCCGCAATGTGGTATTACCAAGAGTTGGACGATCGACCGCCGATGTACGAGACGCAACAATCGGGGTACGTCGACCGAGATTCGGTTCCGGAGACTCAACCGGAACCGCCCGGGTCGAAAAAAAGTACACGCCGCAAAAGCCACAAAGCCAAAAGCACGTTGACCGAGGCGGCACGGTCAATCCAAAAGTGGACGCCAGAGGAGGAGTGCATATTGGCGTCGGCTTGGGTTGACGTCTCCGAGCATCCTATCATTGGTAAAAAATTTATTTTTTCTAATATATTTATGTTTTTATTTATATATATTATATTTAATGGTGTCTAAAAAATTGTGTAATACATTTTTAAAGGTACGGAGCAAACGAAGGATGCGATGTGGGATCGTATCGAGGAGAAGCTCTTCACGGAGATGAAGAAGGACGGCTCCTACCGAACCCAGGACCAACTCACTTCCAAATGGAGCCACATCAACAAAAAAGTCCGAAAGTTTATCGGAGTTTACGAGGAATGCTCCCGGTCCCGGAGGAGCGGCACGAACGACACCGATGTTCTCCGGCTTGCCACGACGCGGTATCAAGACGACGGGCACCAAGGCAAGGTGCCCATCGATCTTTGGAGGATTTTGAGTTGTTCCACGAAGTGGCAACAACTCAATAATCCCGACGATGGATCGTTCCGGAAAAGATCCACCATCGACGCCGAGGTTGAGGTCGACGAGACTATCGGTTCGACTGATCAAATCCCTCCCTTCAACGTTGCGGATTCTGATGATGAGGACCCCATTCCACGGCCGATCGGAAGAAAGAAGGCAAAATCCATTGCATCTAATTCGGGAGGGTACGCCTCTGTTTCCGCTTCTTCCCGCGACGAAATCGGCATTGTAATAGTTGAACAACTTCGGGCATTCAATCTCTAAGAACAAGAGAGGTTGAAGCTAAAGGAGAAGGAGTTGAAGCTAAAGGAGCAGGAGGCCGAGATGAAAGTCATGCAAACCGACCCCGGGACGTTGTCGGAGATTGGACTAATGATCTACGAGCAATGAATAAGAGAGATCAAGGAAAAATATAATCTACCCTAGTTTTTTTTATTAATGTATCTTTTTTTAAATTATTGTTGTTTTTTTATTTAATTAATGTATTTTTCTATTATTTGTGTTTCAATTTAATTAAATAATAAATTAATTACATTTTATTAATTTAATTTTAGAAGATGTATATTTAAAAAAGTAAAAAATGAAGGTTTGAAGCCCTAGTTTGAAGCCCCGGGACTTCAAACCCATTTCTAGTGAATTTTGAGTGTAAGTTAAAGCTGACGTGGCAGAGAGAGAAGGTTTGAAGCTCCGAGTTGAAGTCACGGGGCTTCAAACGTATTTCCAGTGCTCTAACAAATGACATAGTACCAAATGAGTTTAAGTGTAAAATCACAATATGATAAGAATTTTCAAAAAATAAAACCCTCACGAGCCCTTCCCCGTCCAAACAAAATCTATGGATTATATTCATTAATTAATGTAAAATTTGTTGCAACTAGGACTAAAAGCCACTACTTTTCCCTAAATAAGACTCTTTACTTTTTTTCCTTTTTCTAATACTAAAATTTGTTCATGTATCCATATTTGCCCTTCTAATGTTATCTCGCATGATCGCATCCACGCCGCGCTGGTACACATGCATATTGTCCTTCCATTCTTAATTTTTATATTCTTTACATATTTAGAGATAATACCAACCATTAAATTCTCCTATTTTTTAAGATGCAATTATTACATTTCCTATCATATTAACCGTCACTTCTTTTGCTTCATCTCCAAATTCTTAACACGTTTACAATCAGTGCTTCATCTCCAATTTTTGCCATCAAATTGTGATCAAAGTTTAATATACCTTTTATCATTGACCATCCGGACGGATCTTAGGGAACCCTCAGGAATGAGGCTCATCCTTTTTTTACATTTTTAAAATATACTACCTCCGTTTCTGAGTATTTATCCAGTTTTGACTTTTTTCAGTCCACCGTTTTTAACCTTTGACCTATAATTCAATAAAATATATATTGTGTTTTAATTAAATAGAATAATATTTTGAAAATATTTCATATGATTAATCTAACAAAACTATTTTCGTATCTATATCTAATACAATTTTTATTTAATTTGAGGTCAAAGTTTTTCGTATCTATATCTAATACAATTTTTATTTAATTTGAGGTCAAAGTTTACAAGTTTTGACCAAAAAAAATCAAAAGTGGACAAATACTCAAGGATGGAGGGAGTATTACGTACTTTGTATATTTTTTCATTTTTGAAATCACCTAGTTTTTTTGTATTTTTATTTTTCTTGGTACGAACCATTTAAGAATAACTTATTAAACAAGAAAAAGTTGCAAATTATGTCCTTAAAAAACTAACAATGACTGAAAAGGGTAATATAAAATGTCCAACACTTAACACTCTTCAACAAAGCATTAACTAAAAGTAAAAACACTAGTTCATAAAGACTTAGGCTCCGTTCCGTTCAACTTATTTTTTCTGATCTGATCTGATTCTAATAAGTTCTGATCTGATCTGGTCTGATCTGATCTGATTAGATCTGATCTGATCTGATTGGATCTGATCTGATCTGATCTGATTGGATCTGATTTGATCTGATCTGATCTGGTCTGATCTGATTAATTATGATTTAATTTAAAATTTCAAATCAATAATTTAATTTGACTTTATAATAATGTTTGAAAATTGTAATGATAATTCATATTATAATATAATCAATATTTTTTATTTAATGATTATTTTTTAATAAAATAAAAATAGTTAATTCATATATTAGAATAATCATTCATATTATAATGTAATAATATTTTTTATTTTATGATAATTTTTTTGTAAAATTAGAATTATACATTAGAATAAATATTTAATTTAGATATACATTAAAAAGTAATTAAATTTAGATAATCAATATATAGAAGAGATAGTATTTTTATTANTACAAGTAGCAATAAAAATATATTTTAAAAGTAGAATTAGATTGATATTGTCAATGTATTTTAAAACTAATTTTTCTGACGTCTAATAATTAAGGATTACTTTCTCAGTTTTCTATTTAACCTATTTCTAAAGTTTATTCTTTTTCATTTTTAAGAACAACAACAACAACAACAACAATAATAATAATAATGATGATGATGATGATGATGATGATGATGATGATCATAATAATAATAATAATAATAATAATAATAATAATGATGATGATGATGATGATGATGATGATCATAATAATAATAATAATAATAATAATTCTTGATGAGATCTGATTTTAATAAGTCCTGATCTGATCTGATTGGATCTGATCTGATCTGATAGGATCTGATCTGATCTGATTGGATCTGATCTGATCTGATTCGATCTGATCTGATCTGATCTGATCTGATCTGATTCGATCTGATCTGATCTGATCTGATCTGATTTTAATAAGAATAAGAAAAAATAAGAAAAAATAAGTTGAACGGAACGGGGCCTTAATAGTAAATTTGAAGCTAAAGGCTTAATCCTAACAATGATGAATTTAACAAAATATTTATCAAACAAAGCATTAAATAAAATACCCATGCACAAAGACTTAATGACCAACAATTTTTGTTCCAATAATTGCACTACAAACACTTAATTCTTGGATTTTTCTTAGTGAAGATTGTATATATTTCCATTTTCAAAAATTACCCAATTTATGTGTATTCATATCTTTATAATGCCTTGACCAATCTTTCATGATCAATCTTCATTTACCTACATAAGACGAAAACATAACGACTTTATCAATATAGGACCATATATTTTTATTTCTCAATGTATGATCATAAGTCATTATCCATTAGTTATTATTCAAGTAAATGTCCACCATCTCTGGATATTATTCCCAATATAGGACCAAAACATAATGACTAAAACATAATGACTTTCCCAATATATATAGGACCATATGTTTTTATTTCCCAATGTAAAACTTTTGGTCATTATGAATTAGTCATTATTCAAGTAAATGACCATCATTACTGGACATTATTCCTCTTACTAAGACATTAATAAGTCCTGTTTAGGTAATAAAAAAGTTTAAGTCTTAGATTAGGAAAGTCATTATGTTTTAGTCCTATTTAGTGCAAATTTCACTTTTAACAAACATCGTACATGTATGTACCAATCTAGGATAAAGCTATTTGTACCCCAAATTTTTGTACTCCACTTTGTACCCCGCAGGTTTGCACCAACATTTTGTGTTGGTGTAAAGCTAATTTTTATTAATGCACCGACACTTTATGTCTGTGTAAATTTTTGTTAACGCACCAACACTTGGGTCGGTGTAAATCATCAAAATGTTTGTATATAACTGTAGGGTACAAATGAGGTACAATTTTTAATGCAAGTGTAGCATGGTTCACCGATCTAACTACACTAAAGTCTGTCAAACATAGGATTTTTTTTTTGAAACATCAAACATATGAATTAAAACAACTTACTCGCCCTAAAGAAGTGCTCTTCACTCAGGGCCGGCACCGAAAAATGAAAAAAATAAAAAAAAATGGACCGGTCCAAAATTTACATTTTATGCCCTATTTTATATTATTAGAATATTTTTTCTTTAAAATTATTAACAAATTAAAAAATATGGTACCCTAAATTTTAAGGGGCTCTGTGAAGTTGGCCACTTTGCACACCCTCCGGGCCACCCCATGTCTTCACTAAATTCATTCTCGACGCCATTGATTTGCCGTTTGGGCTCTTCATGATCGCTAAGCATCAAACTTCTCTTCCAATAGAACCCTAACTTAATTGTGTAGTAATGACTTAGAAACCTGTTGGGTTAGAAAAGCGTGCCTAGATGGTAACTACGACCGCAATTTTTGCGATTCCTAACAATAGCAGCGCGTGGATGCCATCTCTCTTTAATTAATGTGGGAGGCTATTCTAGTCATTATACATGCCCAAACGTGTAGTCAAATAGGAGTACTCCTATTTACGGAGATACACCATCTTTTACTCTTATTTCTGTAAATTTCTCTTAATTAATCCCACACATCAGACCCAGTAAGTTGCAAAAGCATCTCTCTCTCTCCCATGAATGGTTTTCTTTCCAGGCTCCGCCGACCCTTCTGCCCGAACTATCTTTTCCAAAGCAACAACCAAATACAAACTTTCTTCCGTCTCGGGCAGGTCGACGATGCCCGGCGGGTGTTCGACGAGATGCCTCACCGAGATGCTTTCACATGGAACTCAATGATCTCCGGGTACTGCAAAAATGGCCGCGTTGATGATGCAAGGTGCCTCTTTGATGCGTTTCTTGGAAAGAGTGTCAGGACTTGGACGTCTATGCTTTCTGGGTACGCCAAAGCTGGAAGAGTTCATGACGCTGAGGGGATTTTTCTTGCCATGCCAGAGAAAAATGTTGTCTCCTACAATGCGATGATTAGTGGGTACTTTCAGAATGGGGATGTTCAGAGTGCAAGGGAGATTTTTGATGTCATGGGTGATAGAAATATGGCTACTTGGAACTCTATGATCACGGGATACTGCAGGATGCGCTGGATGCGGGAGGCACGTGAGCTGTTTGATGATATGCCAGAAAGAAATGAGGTTTCGTATATGGTTTTGATTTCTGGGTATGAATCAATGAATGATTATGAAGAAGCATGGAGGGTGTTTTTAGATATGCACATGAGAGGTGAAGTGAGACCGGACCAGCAAATATTATTGGGGGTGCTGTCTGTGATCACGGGATTGGATGACGCTAGATTGGTCACATACTTTCTTCCACTTGCATTGAAGACGGGATACAGTAGTGATGTGGTGGTGGGAACTGCAATTTTGAACACCTTAAGACGAACTGCGAGTTTGGATTCGGCCTTAAAGTTTTTTAATGATATGCCAGAGAAGAACGAGTACACTTGGAGCACAATGATTTCCGCGCTCTCCCAGTGTGGAAGGTTGGAAGATGCTATTCTGTTTTACAGACAAGTTCCAGAACACAATAATGGGACTCAAACGGCAATGTTGACTGCTTATGCCCAAAACGGAAGGATGAATGAGGCAAGGAAAATGTTTGACATCATCAGTAACCCAGATGTTCTTACCTGGAATGCTCTTCTTGCAGGATATGCACAGAACGGGATGGTTGAGGAGGCTAAGGAATTGTTTTTTATCCAAATGCCTACAAGGAATATGGCTTCTTGGGGAACAATGGTTTCTGGGTTTGTGCAGAGTGGGAATTATAAAGAAGCTTTGGAGGTGTTTGGTGCAATGCATAGGTCAGGGATCATTCCCGATAATTCCGTGTTACCTAGTACACTTTCTGCTTGCACGAACATTGGAAAGATTGAAATCGGCAAACAGATACACTCTGTAGCTATTAAATTGGGTTACGAGTTTAATTCATTCATCGGGAATGGATTGATAAACATGTATGCTAAATGCAAGAACATAGAAGATTTTCTTCAGGTATTTGACATGATGAAAGTCAGGGATACATCCTCTTGGAACTCTCTGATCACAGGTCTTTCTGAGAACCACAGACTGAGTGGTGCTGTTGAAGTATTCAAGAGGATGCCGAACCACAATGTTGTGTCTTGGACTGCTTTGATATCAGCATATGCCCTAGCCGAACAAGGAAATATTGCATTCCAGTTATTCCATGACATGCGCAATGGTGGAATAAAACCAAGCGAACAAACGGTTACTAGTCTACTGAGTGGCAGCGGTATCCGTGGTGCTCCACGGTTAGGAGAACAAATTCACGGGTTAGCTTATAAAATTGCCCTGAATTTGCGTTTGTTTGTCCGCAACGCTCTTATAACCATGTATTTCAAGGGTGGGTCCCGTGACGGGTTCAGGATTTTTGAGGATACAAAGGCTGAGCATAGAGACATTGTCACTTGGAATGCTGTTTTGACCGGATGTGCTCAAAACGGGTTGGGTAGAGAAGCCATCAATATCTATGAGAGAATGAAATCTGCTAAGTTTGTCCCTAATCAAATAACTTTTCTCGAGCTGCTTTTTTCTTGCTGCCATTCAGGGCTAGTGGATGAAGGTTTGAACTTTTTTGACTCGATGATTCGGGACTATGAGATTCCACCATCTATAGATCACTATACAGTTGTGGTTGATCTTCTTGGGCGGGCTGGGCGACTCGCTGAAGCTGAATCACTTGTATATAGTATGCCTATGGAGCCGGATGCTGCGATCTTGGATTCTCTTCTTGCTGCTTGTAAAAATCACGGTAACTTGAATCTTGCCCAGGACATTGCAGAAAGGCTATTTCGGATGGGTACTAATAAATCTGGAGCATATGCGTTGCTATCAAACATATATGCTTCTCAAGGCATGTGGGAGAAAGTGGATAGTATACGGACCACAATGATTAAACGAGGAGTAAACAAAGAACCGGGTTTCAGCTGGATCCATTTCAAAGGCAAAACTCTATTCTTTCCTACATTAAAAATGGCACTTTTGACCCTCCCTTGCTTCTCACTCCCTCCATCCCACTGTTTTTGGTACACGGGGTAATGGCGCACAAATTAATAAAAGTGGAATTGCATACTTGATCTAGATGTTTAAAAGAAAAACTAACAATGAATTTGAGCCACACAAATCTTACTCAATATGGTATTTGACAAACTAATGGGCTGAATAAAAAGGGTAAATAAAAACAGACGCAAGTAGTGAGGCATAGAGAGTACTTTCTTTTACGGTGTTTTTGGCAGTAAATGAAGCAATTCATCAAGGGTTTAACGGAAAAAGCCTTTTTTGTTTTTACAGGGGCTAGATGATGTACATTTTGACCTCACCCCACACCCCAACAGAGTTGGGATTATATTTCATTTGTTGTTGTATTTAAAACATACTAATGATATTGAAATGTATATTGCAGCGAACTCGGGCACTCGATAGGTGGAGATGAGAGCTAAAGCAAGGAAGGCTCAGATGAAGAGTGTTAAGAAGGATTCAATGCAATTAGCTGCTTCCGCAACTTCTAGGGATTAAGCTCCCGATTTTTGGTACGTTTACTGCATTTATCTGTTCATTTCATTTTCAGTAAAAAGTGTATGTAAATTGATTGGCATTTGTGACCAAATTGGTGTTATAAGTAATATATACTCCCCGTCCCAAGATTATCTTATGTGAGAATGACACAGAGATTAAGGGTGGAAAGAAAATCGTATAAAGCCTACTTGTTTGGGTTTGGTGAAAGGGAAGTGAAAAGTAGCAAATATGTAGGTTGTTGAGGGTAAAAGTATATTTTTACATAAAAGAAGGCATGCCAAAAAAAGAAAACTGAAAGTTGATTTTGGGACAACCAAAAAAGGAAAGTGAGAAGTATCTTTATTTTGATTTACGCGGATTTCGTTTTACTTTGATATAACAGCGAAACTATTTCGGATTGTAATGAAATTTTGGGGAGGATGGTTTATGTTATACGTAGTACTACAATATCTTTCAATCCAAGCATTATGGTTACATAGAATATGCCTTGTTCTGTAATTGCAGGTCACAAAAATTGTGGCAGAAACAATGGATTAGTAAGGGACTGTAAGGGACTCTTCATTGGACATGAATGGCTTCCCTGAAGCTTTCCCGGATCACGTACTGCAAGACACCGAATAGAGGAATTGTTCTTCTCAAGAAATACTCCATCCGTTCCTAAAAGGTTGTCGTGATTTGACTTTCTCAAAGTTTAAGAAAAAAGCGAATTGTACGGCGGAGAATTATGCCATGGAGAGAGAAATAATATAAATTAAATAGAATGAGGCAATTTTTTTTACATCCAAAAAAGGAAAACAAGACCCCTTTTCAGGGACACAGAGAGTATTATATTTTGAAGATCTGCTGAATAAGTGTGTGTGTGTGTGTGGTGTGTGAAATCTATGTATATACACACCCACACAAATCTTCTATGATGAGATTTCTATACTTGGTAGGACTTTCAATTCTCACACATTATTGATTGAGAAATTTACTTATATAGTACTAAAACGTAGTGTGTTTCTCAATGTAGCACTATATGTTTTAATTTTCCAAACATTGGTCCTGTCATTGGACATTGTTCAAGTATTATTTAGAAAATAAAAAATTTAAGTAGCACTCCGTACATTGGAAAAAGATATACTCCTTCTGGTCCTAAAAACCTTTCAGTCAAATGATGATATTCTTTGACAACAAATTAAACATAATCTAAATAAATAAATGATATAAACATTTGCTATATCAAAATTATATTCTAAGACTATCCCAATTATATTGAATTTATATTGTAACTAAATATACTTTTCTTATAATTTATAATCAAAGAAATCAAAACAGGAAAAGATTTTTAGATCCGGCGGGAGTATGTTTTAGTACTATTTACAGAAAATTTCACTCATTGATTACCACAATATGAGTCTATATCTAGCAAAGACTTAATTCAATCCATCTTCTTTTGAATATGCAATTACTTTTGTTTTTAATTCTTCTCCCATTTTAGAACACATAATCATTCTCGTCAAACATTGTCTATGTGATAACTGTAGAGTTTCCAATAGTTGGAAGTTGGAACCGTTATGGTCAGTATCAGATTGTATTGTCCTTGCTTTTTATTTATACTCCTTACATCGCAAAATTATTTCACTTCGAACAATATCTAAAATCTCATAAATCTATTTTGCCAACGAATCGTTATTAGAAATATAAATTACAAATTTAATACTACAAACAAATAAAAATTGTCGAAAAAATCGGTTCAGATTATGTGCTCATTTTTTTTGTTCAGATTCTAGTTTTGGCATAATCAACTGCCTAATTTCGTTTCTCATTGAAGGATAAAAATGATGCTCAAGATGAACATTTTTTTTGAAAGCCATTCTCTAGATCAACTATTACTCTCTACGTCCTAGTGCTTTAGTTGATTTCAATATTTGACAAAGATTATTTTTAATTTAAATAATTTAAAAATTGCTATATAATTAAAAAAAATTCCATAAAAAGTATGCATTTAAAAAACTATATAAAAAAATTTCAAAACAAGGAATTACATGACAATTATTTTATCAAATATAGTTAAAGAAAACGAATAAAATTTAACCATGTAAATAATAAACATGTGTTATAATTTCGGACAGAAAGTGTGACTTTAGTGATATACTCCGTTAAATGAATACAAGCACTCTGTAGTTACATGCATTCAAAGTGTAATGCTCCGTATATCACAAAAGTCATAATGATCAAATCATATGCGAGTAATATTATTTTTCCCTCCTCTATATACAACCCCAACAACACTTCATTTTTTTTTTAAATTTCAAGCAAAGTCAAAGTGACAAAATGTCAAAGAGTGTTGAATGTGTTCTCCAAAAAATAGATAAAATTTTAAATCAAAATGTATTGCAGTCCAAAAAAACCATTAGGTTTTAGTACAAACAGCTCAACCTAATCCAGAGACAATTTGTGACCTAGAACAAACCTCCACATATAAAACATGCCACTGACATACATAGAAACTGTTTGGTAGATGCCAGCCATTCTTCACACAAGAGTGATATATATAGCCTCTTTCTGAACTCATCTTCCAGCATATCTTGATATATATGGCCCTGATGTCTTCCTGGGAAAAAAAGCTTTGAGCAGTAAGTACTAATGCAGGCGTAAAAAACATCAAGATATATATTTTAAAAAAAGCAAGGATCTTTTGATCCGAGCCAATTTTGACCTTAAATGACCTTGGCATTTTGAAGCACCTATGGTGCTCCGTTCGTAAAATTGATGGTTCCTACCCCGCGCACTCCACCACCTAGATTGCCGATTTGGGACTGCCAAATTTGCAATATGGGGGAGGGGGGGAGAGAGGGTGCTGGGGTGGGATGCAGGGGGAGAGGTTAGGGGGTAGAAACCATCAATTTTACAAATGGAGCACCATAGAGGCCTTGGGTCATAATATGACCTTGATTTCCGAAGTCAAAAGAACTATTGTGAAAAAAAATTGTCCCATAATTACTATTTTTTTTGAATAGACACAATTTTAGTAAAGTAGAACTTTTGTGGTTATGGAATGTGTAGAGGAAAGTGAAATAATATGAACCATGAAAAAGTGAGATTTTTTTTGGAAAAATTTAAAAAAATGATCTTCGTGCAGAAGTTGTACAACACCATTTTTTTTAGATTACACAGCTTTTTGCTGTGAAAAAGTGGATGGTGTCCATGAGAATTCAAAAAAACCGTGTAAAAATGGTGTTGTACAACATTGGTGTATAACATTGTCGTATGGATACCAAAGGCCGTACAATAAACACTTAATCTGTGTCGAATTTGATCTTCTTTGGAGCAGTCTCAGTGTAACCAACCTGCAAATGACACATTCATTTAGAGGAATTAGTACTGACTCATTCTTTCAAGATCTTTAAAGCAGAAGCAGTTTATATGTTGTATAAGCGCATATTAAGGATGGCCTTTATCTGATTCAAAGTAGAATAGCTGCATATGTGCCCGGTCCACACATCCGGTTTTAAAGTGTGCTACTAAGCACTATGCAACATAAGATGTTCTAAAGAAAAAAGAGGTGTGTTCTTACAACTTCTGGGCATTCATAATCTATACCAGCGGCCTCCATCTTTTTAACCCTCTTGCGATCCTTCTTCTTTATTCCATCAACCAATTTCTTGTGCTCTTCCCATGTTCGCATCTGAGTAATTTCTCAAAGATGCAATTTAATCAAAAGACAACTCAGGTAGATTTTTTTGGAATGTAAACATGTCCTAGAATAGTCGGTCTCTTGATGCTGTGAGTTGTGGGATACCTTGTCGAGATTGTTTCGTTCAATTGCAACCCAATCCACTGGTATGAACTTGCGATTCACACGTCTCCACCTAGAGAAAATTTTGTAATTGAAAATTTTTAAAACAAGTTATGTTGTAGAGTGTCAACCCCTTTTTTCCATGCAACAACTTTTTAGATGATCACATGCAACTATTGAAATGAGTGATTGACGCTTTCTTCTTTTTATTTTTTATTGGGCTGAGGGATGGGGGATGGGTGGAGTAATGCAAACTAAACAATCAAATATGGGGGCAAAATGTACATGTACCCCTCTGCCCCAACGAGTAGAGATGTTTCTGAGAGGGACCCGACAAATAGTGATATGTAATAGCGTAGTGTGAGTGAAAAACACAACCATCAAAAGCATTGCACTCAGCACCAACAAGGACTTTAATACCCTAATACCATGTCTCGGACTCTCGGCATGTCAAGGTCTCTAATGCAAGTTTTTTTTGTAATTTCTTTTAACATTGGAGACATGTCTAAAAGAATGTACTTGTGAGGGAGAAAAAACGTAGAGAGAGTTGGCTCTTATTATAAATGCAAATTTTGATGACTTTGTCACAACTCGTATTACATATTGATTTTTGTTCAATGCATCATTTCCAATGCAGATGAGGCAATCAGCCAATGCTAAAGATTTTTCACTTTAATTTTGATGCTATCCCAGAAAGTAACATCCAAACAAAACATAAAGATCCCTAAAACCAGCACTTCTATAAGATGTCAAATGCCAACTATATAATGTAGAGCCCCTTACAGTTTTGGATGAACACGCTCGGGGGGAATAAGATTCACTTGCAACACATGTTCAAACAGAAGATATTTATCCATTGTTTCTGCCACAATTTTTGCGACCTGCATTACAAAACAAAGCACATGGAATAAAGAGAAGGATAAAAACGGTTTTTAAATATAAGATCTAGCAAAATAAAGTCAACCTCGGGGGACTCGAATTCTATGTAACCATAATGCTTGGATTTCCCAGTCTGCATAACACAATAATCACAAATATGTTAAGCAAATAAACAACTCGCCCCCTAAAACAAAGAGAGCAAATGAGATGAATTTGAAAATTAATAAGCATTGAAAATGTGCAGATTGGAAATGAAAATTGCAGATTTAGTCATGGAGTAAAACTTTGTGGATTACTGTGTCATGAATAAGTGTGCAGAAACTGGAATTGTGCATTTCATTTCCTCAAACATAGCTCTAATTTAGCACGTAATTATATACCTAGCACTTTCCTTTTCAATTCATCTCAAAATTGATTTCACACTTTCCTTATTTCCTCCTAAGAAAAAGGAATGTGTGGCTCACATCATTTCACTTTCTTTTAAACAAATACTAACCATACATTTTTCACTTTTCAACACTTTTCTTAAATTTTGTTAAGTCAAAGTACATAGTTTATTTTGGGACGGAAGGAGTATACTTAAGTAGATTTAAACCTAATTCTACTCCTTGGGGCAGATGTAAGGTTTGCCATATCATACAGTCTTTCCCTCTCAACCCCTACTCTTGAATGGGATATACTAGGTTTTCTTGGTTTAATTTGGAAGCATCTTCCACTGAATGAGGTGTCAAAAGGAGATGAATAATAGCCCCTTGGTGATGACTTTCATTAAGAGACTATCAATAGAACTAAAACGCGTGATATTTACATTAGAATGATTAGATAGATGAAATTTATCTATCCATAAGGGGCAGGTAGTCAGTTTACTTAATAATTTGGCAGCTATTACTCTTGCCAATATTTCTACATGACATGATATTTAGATTGAAGATAGCGAAGACAACTTTTTTAAGGAAAACAGGGGAACTCAACTATAGAACTCAACTATAGAACTTGTTTTGAATAATATTGCAATCATGTTTTCTGATTTATATAAGTCAGAACCACACAATAAAGGAGCATTGTAAACAACAAAATAGCATTAAGAACTTAGCTGTGGATATAAACCCACATTTTGTAATCATTAGTTAACTGACAATAAATTAAGGAATAAAGAGATAAGGTGGAGAATTGACCTTCCTATTCCTAGCAATTCTAAGCCTCTTGATCATTCCAAATTGCTGAAAAAACCCTGGAAAAAGAAACATTGTTACATATCCACTTCATACTTATTCCAATTATACATACATATGTTGCAAAACATGCAGCCATGTCATCATATTCAAGTAGAAAAAGAGAAATTCAAACCCGTCATTTCATCCTCGTAAAATCCATGAGGAATTCTTCCAATATACAAAACTGTTGCTTTAGTTTCTTTTAGCTTGGTGACTGGAATCTTCTTTGCTGGTCCACCTTCCAACGGCTAATTATCCAGAGAGAAACAAAATCATTATACTTGTAGGCTTGCAGCATACAAGACATGTTTCTTTATGTATATGTGTAGAAGGTAAAAAATGATCAAGTACAACCAGTGCAGCATCAACTGTAAGAATCGGTGAAATTCTTTTCATTGCTAACAAAAAAACATACATAATCGGAGTAAGTTTGTGAACTCTAAATCTATAAAAACACACTTTCTATTAGCATTCTGTTACATGTTATGACTACCAGAGTGACACCTAGGGATCACAATGGAAAGAATCCTATTAATATGGGTGCAACACCCACTTTTCAAAACCAAGTTGGTAAAACTCGATCGACTTTACCCAGTCCTAAGTTTTCATAATATTCTATAACATGATTCACCTCAGCCTTTCCATCATTCCCACGCATTGGCAAGGATATAGAGAATCAAGACAAGTTGTTATAGCATGCATGAAAAATACACCAACCCTAATTAATTTGTTAACATGAAGATAACTTATAACCACTGATATCTTAAACATCAACTTGGTCATAAATACCAATCAATTAGCATAAACATAAAAGGGGAAAAAAGAGATGATGCAGTAACATACCAAAAAATCGGGAGCCTCATCTCCAGGAGCTGCGGAAGCAGCTAATTGCATTGCACCCTTCTTGACACTCTTTGTTTGAGCCTTCCTTGCTTTAGCTCCCATTTCCACCTATCCAGCACTTTTTATCCAAGCTTTGCTGCTAGGGTTTTACTAATCTTGTGCCTGAGTTCAGTGCAATTTACATTTCAATATAAGCGCTACTTTTTTAATACAACAGCAACAACAGATGAAGTATAATCCCAACTCTGTAAGGGTGTGGGGGTCAAAATGAACATCATCTAACCCCTGTAAAGACAAAAGTGGTTGCCCCCATTACACCCTCGATGCATTGCTTCACTTCCTGGCCAACACTTCATATAAAGTACTGACGTCCCACTACTTTCATCCGCTTTTGCCTTAAATTCTTTGTTACTTTTTCAATTAAACATCAATATCAAATACGCAATTCCACTTTTCTTAATTTGCATGCCATTACCTCATGTCCCAAAAACAATGGGGCAGATGGAGTGAGAAACAAGTGCCATTTTTATTTAGTTGTTCTACATTTTCCCGCATAAAGATTTGTACTTTAAGGACAACACACACATCTACACACCACTATACCAAAATTCTTTCATTTGCACCTCTTTCACTTTCATCTTTCGCATACATGTTCTTTCACTAATGAATTTGCTTTATCTAATATTTCTATATTATTTTCCAAAACCTTATCTTTTTTTTAAGACATGCTATATTACATTTAAATATCAATTATTTTTGTGAGTATTTCATAACTATGTCAACATTATTTTGTATTCATATTACGTTCTAAAAACCATACCAAAAAACTTTAGCTAGTTAAAAGAAGTATTGAAAAGTTATAGTTAAGAGTTTGTTTATAATACATTCATTGCTAATAGATAAAATAAACTAAGTGAAATATGTTTTTTGGCTGTAATTTTTTTTACCATGGAGTGAGCAAAAAAGTAAAATTGAAGGGAAAATATAAAACAAACAAAAAAGTAAAATTGCAGTGATATTTCATACAAACATTCAGAACTACGTAGTTGATGGAACATAAGTATAATAATGTTTCAGGCATGAAATTTTTACGCTAGATCGAAACACTAAAAAACGTTTGAGAATCGAGTCTCATAATTCGATAATTGAAACATGAACTCGTCGTTGTTTGATGAAGCTGGTGGTTGTGAAGCAGCCGGAGATGGAGGTGTACCTGGCGGCGACGGGAGGAAGAACGGCGAGCGAACTGAAGAAGAACGGCGAGCGAACGGTCGAATGTGGAGCACAATGGATTCTAGGGTGTAGTAATTATGTGCCGAAAAATAAATATAACTTGGGCTGATGTTGATAAAGTTCAGCCCAGCTGGTTAACTGGCCCAATAGTTTTGAACTAAGTTTGCAAGAAACCCAATGTCTTGTTTGCCATTTTGACCATTGTTGAGATTTCATTTGAAACACTTTGAAGGAAAAAAGAAATAGATTTGAATAAAAAGTATTCCGTATATACTCTCTATGTGCATCTATTTTTGTTTATTCAAAACTTTTACGATTAAAAAAAATATATAGGTATGATTTTCTTGTAGTTGTAATTTTTTTACTTTAAGCTCAAAATTTTGGAATTTCTTCACTGGTTTTAGGTCATGTTCTCTTCACATGATCTAATTTGTTCTAATCTCATTGAAATAAATTATGATTCAATATAATCAGAAGTAGTTATATTTAAAGTTATTTCAGATCTAGTCTGATAAAAAAATAAGTTCGGGAGAACATGACATTAGTGGTAAAAAGTCACCCTCCTGGATTCAAGGAGAAATTCATCTGGGTTTGAATCTCAGTTTGAAGATTGAAGGTGAGCCATGGGTTCCAACAAAAATGGATGTCACTTTTTTCTCTCCAAAATAGAATTCACTATACACTCATTTCTTTTTAAATACTCTGTATCAAATAGGGAGTAATAAAATATGTGTGTCAGAGTCTTTTTCTTTTTGTTTTAACAAATTTTAATAACACGTTTAACACATTGGTTAAACTTTGCAATGAAGTTTAATTTGAGGGGATAACAAATAACAAATTAATACGGAGTAGTAAAAATTAAAAATCAAAATGTTGTATAGTTGAATTGTGAAAATCGAACTCATGAGATAGAGTAATAATACGGAGTATCAATTATTATTTTGTAGAACTTTTAATGTAGTTTTTAAATATGTAATTTATACCTTTTAATTTTGTACCAACTTATAGACAAATTCATTATATAAAGATAAACTTTTACATGTTATTCGAACATGTAAAATGAATTTGGGACAGGAGAAGTAATATAGAATAATAAATATTCAGATCATCTCTACCGGGGAGAAAAGAAGAACTATGATGATGTAGAAGGAAATATTGAGGAGATTACATGTGTGAAAAATAATAATACTCGTATAAATAAAGTAAGAGAATAATTAGAGAAGAATAGGGAACGTTTAAGATGAGATGAAAATAACGTATAATTAAAAATGGATGACATGCGAGGAGAATTGATGGGATGAGTAATGATGTTCTAAGAATAAAAATTTTGTATTCGTGAAAGTCAAACTGCCATGGGATAGAGTAACATTTACTAAAGCCATGTTTGGAAATAACATTTTCAATTGGCGAACACTTTAGATAATCAATTAGGTGTAACATTAACATTGAAAACACTAAAATTATATATTGTCCAAGATGAAGCTAATTAATGTTAAAGCTCTGGCCAGAAAAACACAAATTTGTCATCAAGTGAAGTTCAGAATGTCATTGAATACACCATAGGCTTTCACAACCTCTACTTGAGGAGAAATAGGAACAAAATCTCCACAAAACTGCAGAGTTTCCACCAATGCCCACATCACTCACCTTACAACATTTTTTGAGACTGCCCTAATAGAATCCAAGTAAGAAGACCCTTGTATCACACAATCCAACTTACTGAGAAAAGACTTCCCAGAATCGCCCGAATCTCTCCGAATCTTCGACGCGGTAGCAATCACGACAACATTCTCATCGTCCGCGACGTCTATTTCGTACAACTCCTCGAAAACATCTTGAAACTCACTCACCAGTGTTTCGTAGAATTGCTCGCAAAGAGGCATGACATTGACAATAATAGCCCCGTGCTCGGAAAGAAGCCTCTTTGCTGCAGAGAGTGTAGATTTATGAACAAACTCAGTTGGAGGCGCACTCATTCCTGCACCAGTGCAAGCCGAGTCGAGATCAACCATAATGACATCAAACTTGACACCTGCATTGTCGACATCATCAAGAAATGAGATTGTTGAACCCGAATATTCGGTACCCCAAAATGCCAAAACAATCATAGGCCTACCATCACAAGCTCGACAGCCTATTTAGGTGAAATTCGGTACCCCAAAATGTTAAGGTCACCTAAACTTTCTCACACACATCCATAGACATTGAAGAGTACCATGTGTTTGTGGATGTCTGTGAAAAGACGGTGATGCCCCTAGCATGATGGTCCATATGGCATAGGGTACAGCCGTACTAAAAGCTTGAAATTTAGAGAGGCATACAGTTCATTACCATCATCTTTTGCATTTGAGAGATCATGATTTTGATTTTTTCCAGCCCCAATGTATAGTTTTCTGATCATATCCATTCCATCTCCTACGCATAAACGAATTGATTCACCATCTTCTTCCAAGCCAAAATATTTTCTAGCCATTTCCAAGACGCGGTCGTCCTCTTCAACACCTAATACTTCGAAACCCAGTTGGGAGTTCAAGAAACTAAGCAATGCCCCTCCTCCAACCCCTAAGCACAATGCTTTTGGCCTGATTCCAGTTCGTATTAGCCCATCCAAATGCGAGGCAATCACAGATAGCCCAGCAACCATTGGGGTCAAATAAGGATGAACCAAAACCCTATTATCTGCTTGGAATTTCATGGCTTCTAGGTTTTCAAAATCCAGCGATTCGGGGTGGATTCTTACCTGAGTCTGGATTAGATTCGGCGTTCTCTTGAACCTCAGCCTTCGCCGGAACTCTCTGCCGCCGTTCTCAGCTTCCAGCTCCACATCCTCCACTGCGATTTCTCCAACACGGTTTCCGAAACAAGTTTCCAATACGCGAATTTGGATCACTTTGTCTTCGTAGCTCAGGAAAGGGATTCGCGGAAGCCCGCCACCTGTTCGACGAAATGCCTCTTTGGGACACAGGGCGATCATCAGGGGCATCAGGGCATCCTCGATCTCGGAGGTATCGTCCGTAGGCGACGGGGGCTTATGAGAGGTGGCGCGTGGGGAATCGGGACAGTTCCCGATGAGGACGAGGCGGGAGAGGTGCGGGAAGGCGAGGATGAGCTGGAGGTGGCCGGACTCCGTGGAGAAGGTCCAGTCGGATTCGCGGAAGGGAGGGACGAGCATGGCGCCGATCGTGGTCTGTGCGGTGGCGCCGGACGGGGAGTCGATGACGGCTATGCGGAGGAGGGTGGCGGTGAAGTGGTTGAGGTGGAGGAGAGGGTTTGGGAGCGTGAAGGTGATGTAGCGGGAAGGGACTATGGTTTCAAAAGCTGAGGGGTCGAGCGCCATTGCTGAAGTGCTGAACCACCTGAGTTGGATAATGGTAATAAAAATGGGAGTGGTTAAAGTTAAATTTGATACTCCCTCTCCCAAAACAGCAATGCTAAGGTACACTAAAGGTGTACCTCATTTGTCCTCCACCCTCTTATTTACCATCCATTTTTATTTAATTTTTATTTATTTAATTTTTTTGAAAGTGTTTGCCCATTTATGTGGTGGAGGAGGGGGTGGGGACAAATGGGGGTGTACCCCTAGCATTTTTCCTCCCAAAAACATATTCATATTTCATTTGTTGCTCATTCCATAAAATATTTCTATTTCATCTTAATTGTTAAAAAAATTCAAAACTTATTTTACTTACAATAAAGGATAAATGTAATAAATTTTATGTATTTTAGACGTGTGTAGAAGTGTTATACAAGATGCGCAAAAAATAAAATATGTCCATCTTTTTTAGACGGAGGAAGTATTAGATGTTCTTACAAAAAGAATTTTAGTAGATCTATTTTATAAAATATTTTCAAAAAAAAGTTTTATATAATTAATATATCACATAATTTTTAATTAACTCGAGAACAAATGTTGATAGATCCAAGTAGAGAGATCGTGGTGTTTGACCATCACAAACTTCTTCCATCAGATCAATAAAATATTTTCAAAGAAAAAAGTTTTATATAATTAATATATCACATAATTTTTAATGAACTCGAGAACAAGTGTTGGAAGATCCAAGTAGAGAGATCTGGGGGTCTGGTCATCACAAACTTTTTCCATCAAAACTATCTCGTGGAGTGTTGAGATCTCTGACTCGAGTCGCACCACCGATGAGATCTTCGTCTCCAATTGTATCACTAGGGATGACAATTCAACCCGAACCCGAGCTTAACCGACCCGACCGACTACTAAAATATCCAAACCCGATCCGAAATTTCAAAAACCCGAGCCCGACCCGAAATTTTTTACCCGAACCCGATATAGGGTCGGGTCGGGTTTGGATATATAAATGTAACCGACCCGACCCGTACCCGACCCGACCCGAGAGTTTAAAACACTGAAATTTAAAATTTAAAAGTTAAAACCATAAGGCCTAAAGATTAAGAACTAAAGTACAGAGACGACTCCACTACTCTAGTCTAAATTAGTGACGACGCTTCAGTGCCCCACGCCCCCACTGTCCCCACTGTCCAGCAGGTCCTGTCGATCATTTTTCTCTAAATGATCGATGAAATCACACATATAAACAAAATTTATCTTAACTCTAAACTAGTAAATATGAGGATAATTTTATGGCGGATGAAGTACTTTGTTAGGTCGAGAAGTAAGATATGGAGTAGCTACATTGGAACGAACCAAAAATGAAAAGAGGACAATTTATTTAGGACGAGTAAAGTATGGAAGAATGTTAATACCAAATTACCAATGAAATATGTTGAGTAAATAGTTCTAATTCTTCAATTTTTCTTAGAATTTAGAGGTTTTTATTCTTAAGTTCAACGTGTTGCCAAACTATTTTTCGTCAAGTACATACGAGTGCTTATACAATTGTGCATACATATGATACTCTTAGAAGTTAGGGCCCGGTTCTTATCGACAACTTGTTGTTATGTTATAATTCTTCAAATATAACAAAACATTAATTCAATTTTATCACACGTAGTCATGCGGATGACCTCAAATATACACGTATGTTAAAGTATTTTTGAAAAGTATATTTATAAGAGTAAATTTCATAAATGATCATTTGTTAAATGTAATTTTTTATATTCAGTCTTCAATTGTAAAATATTATATAAATGGCCCTCATATTTTGAAAACTCTTCCAAAATTGGTCCTTAGGGGACTACTTATGAAAACTTTTTTATTTAAATTATATTTGGCCTAAAGACTATTTATGGAACAGTTTTAAAAAATGGAGGATGATTTATGTAATATCTTATAATTAAAGGCTAAATATAGAACACCACATGTAATTGGGAACAATTTATAGAATTTACTCTATTCATAAAATGCTCTGATAAGATGTATTTCATATGTTATACAAAGTAGATACTAATATACGAATGATATGCGTTAAACTAATCAATATTTAGAGTGAGGGAGGGAATATAAGGATTTAGACATCTGTAAGGTTTTGTTAGCTTTAAAAATAATTTTTGACCTCTATTTTTTCGTTTTTTTCGCACGTCTAACCATAGTTTTCAGAACCGGACCGGGGACCGAACCGGTCAAGGTACTGATTCACTGGTTCACTGGTCGGACCAGTGGTTCAAGTGGTCGAACCAGTGGTTCACACATATTTGAAAATTCAATATATATATATATATATATATATATATATATAATATTTACACACACATGAAAAACAATATTTATTGATCGAAATAATAATACTTCCTTTATCTATAAATAAAGAATTTATGATGTATTAATAAATTTATAAGCAATTTAATTATTTGAGTAGTAGCATTAAATCGAAACAAATGGATATTTAAACAAATAAAAATTATAAAATAGGAGGTGATATTTTTTGTTTTATAATTTACACAATATTTTTGAAATATTAATGAGTTAATAGTTTTATGATATGAAGTTCATATTAGAAATCTCAATTGCATCAATATTTTAGGAATGTAATATATAGTTAGTAATGTATACTTGTATATTTGTAAGAATGTAATATATAACTAATAATGCCTTTATACATCAAAAGCAATTGTAGCATGGATGGTAGATGTCCTAACAATAGAACAATAGGTTGGGGGTTTGAATCCCCAATAGTAACAATTTTTGAGGAATTTGTGCAAAAAAAAAAAAAACTGGTCAGTGGTCAAACCGGCCGGTTCTTACCGGTTCCAGCCGGTTCGAGCCGGTTCGCTGCACATCCGGTCTTTGGAGCTGGACCGGACCGGTTTGGCTCCCGGTTCTCCGCTTCCCGGTCCGAACCGGCCGGTCCGGTCCGGTTTTTAAAACTATGCGTCTAACTTTTGTTAGTTTCAAAATTCAGTGTTCAATACTATTAATATTATTTAAAATATACTTGTAAGCAATACTATGTATTAAAGTACATATGTAAGCATATACTTAGTATATGTTTTTTATTTTTTTAGTTAACATTTTAAAGCGTTCTTATAGTTGAACTTTATAACATTGTAGCTACACTCTTATTCACGTTCACACTGATATTGGCTTTAGACTGTTCACATTGAACTTGGCTTTAGATTGCGGGGTGTAGAATCGGAATAACAGACGTGGCACCCAATCCCGACGGAGAACATCACCCCTTAACAGAATTCGACGTGGTTGACATCTGACGATAAGCTCCACACACTTTTTTTCCTTTTTTACCCTTCTCATTCTCCTCTCATTCTTCTTCTTGCATTGCAGCTTCCATGAACTCTTTCTCTTTTTTCTTCTTCTTCTTACATCACAACCTCTATCTTCTTTTGTTAGATCTGAACTTCCTCTTCAAATTTTTTATAATAATTTTTTTAATTTTCTAGTTTTGATTTTTTCATATGTGATTTTAGTTTCTATTTTTTGTGTATAGATTTTAATTTTAAATTCTATTTTAGTTTAATTTTAAAAATTATAAAGTTTTATAAAAAGTAATATGTAAAATAAAAATAAAAAAAGAATGGACACAAAATACGGGTCCAGACTCTAAATTGGAAATGAGAGCATGAACAATGGCAAGTAGAGAACTGAAATGACACACGCTGACGTGGCGTATTTTAACCAATAAGAAACAGTCTAGTCATAGAGTGTCATGTGTGTGGAGTAGCAACCCCTACAATGGCAAGTCATTCTTTTTATTTTTTTCTCAAAAAAAAAAGATGTATTGTGATTAATAAAAATTATTTTATCAATAAAGAATATTTCTACTACCTTCGTAAAAAGCTTATTTAATTTCTCTTTTGAGAATTAGAAAATTTAAATCAAGTTGATTTTATATTCTTGGAGAAATAGAAGAAAAATCAATTCATCAATAAGAGAGTAAATTTTATTCTCCGAAGGTTGGCTTTACAAAATTGTAACAAACCTGTTTATAATTATTTTTGTTTTGAGTGGCCAGTTTATATACTACGGTACAAAACTTCACAAAGAAAAGAGAGAAAAAGAGCTTTAAAAAAAGAGAGAAAATATGAGCAAATTAAAGAAGGGAGCTGAAAAAAAAAAAGAGCCACGGTGATGCCTCACAAAGAGGGGTGACACGGCTTGGCTTGCCTCGGTGATTCCTTACAAAGTCTGATGTGGCATGGAGGGGCAAGGCTTTGCCTTGCCTCTGCCAATGCTATGATGACACTCTCTACCCTTTATTGGGATCTAGGTCAGGGGGTACAGTAATTCGCAAGAGCGCGGCAAACAGATCAAACCATGCGCGCCAAAACAAAAAACAATCAAATCAAAAACCCTACTCAACAGTCGAGACCGCTCTAAACGTCTCTTGCTCTTCCCCGCAGTTGGAATCCATTCATTGCCCGATCGGAGCTCAAACAGGTACGAATTCCGTTCAGCTTCTTCTCCGTTTTTTCATTTGAATAATGAATCTCCGTTGTCTTAAACCTCTCTTGTCGCCAATTATCCGCAGACAACGTTCGCTCGAAGAATTTAGATCATGGTTTAATAATTTCCAATTTGTATTCTTCTGCTATGGCGCTCTGAATCAAGATGATATATCAGATAGGAAGTTGCTCCAATGGAGTATTTGGGAGCTTTGAATAGACTATATTAGGGATTTAGAACAGAGAAAAGGAAGATACGAGAGGGGTGAAGATTGAAGAGGAAGATGGATTTCTCATTATGCCTTCAATTACAGAGGATTATAATTATGTATCTTCTCACATGTTACAACTAGCTAGATTAGTTATAACAAACCTCGGCCAACAAACTAATCACAAGCCGATTACAAACGAGGCCCAAAAGAAGTAAAATGTTACAAATATTGTAACATAGCTTGTACTCAAGATCGAAATCTAGGAACATAACTTGCACATCTTCAGCATATTCTCATGCGGCGTCCTGTGGAGATTGGTCGGTCCATTGGATCAAGAATTGAGTTTTAGCTGACAGGCTCTTTCTTGTTGTTC